ACTAAGACTGTCAGCCAGTGGACAAAACTGAAGCAAGAGCATTTCTTACATGTACTGTTGTGCAATTTATTTATTATTTTTATTTATTTTTATTTTTTAAACAATGTCTTTAATATTTTTATTGTTTGTGGAAAAAAAAAAGTACATGTACTTATTAACTTAATTATTTTACATATCTATTGTTGTTTTGTTTATGTATTATGTACTTGTTCATTCATGTAATGGACAATGCTTTGGCAATACTGTGCAAGTCATGCCAATAAAGCTCATTTGAATTTGAGAGAGAGAGAGAGAGAGAGAGACATCGCGTGTGTGTGTGTGTGTGTGTGCGAGTGAGAGAGAGAGAGAGAGACAGGGTCACTCACAGTGGAGTCAGCTGTCTTAACCGCGGCTTGTGTACTGCAAACACATACCAGCTTCATCACTGTGTCTGTCACGTGACTCTGTTCCCCTTTCAGGCTCTGTCTTTACATTTATTTTGAAAGCAGAAGCTCACGATTATGGTAAGGGGCGTTACATTTCCGACGAGTACTTGCAGTGTTCGGCCAATCACAATGCACTGGGTCAGCTGGCCAATCAGAGCAGACTGTGCTTGTCGGAAGGAGGGACTTTGTAGAAAACAAAGCGTTTGAGAGAGGAGGGGCATAGATGACCTACAATAATGTACAGTATTTGAAAAATAATGTGTTTTTTGAACATTAAAGCATGTCAACATATTCTGTTACACCAAATACACAAAATAATCATCTTTAAAAAGCATCATATGACCCCTTTAATGCTCACCAAGACTGCATTTATTTGATCTAAAACACAGTAAAACGTTCAAAGGAACAGCATCATTGTTTTGTATAGATGTGTCACTTTTTGATTAATTTAATGTATCTTTGCTGAATAAAAGTGTTAATTTCTTTGTGTCAAAAGAAAATGAAAATAAAAACTTTGATCTGTCACACCTGCTGTAGCGGCCGGGGCAGCGTACGCAGTGAAGAGGGAGAACACAAACCGTGTGGTGATCTGTTACTTTGGAGAGGGGGCCGCCAGTGAGGGAGACGCACATGCTGGATTTAATTTTTCTGCCACCCTTGAGTGTCCTCTCCTATTCTTCTGCCGCAACAATGGTTATGCTATCTCAACACCGACCAATGAGCAGTACAGAGGAGATGGTATTGGTAAGTATATGTGTCCATCACAGACTCCAATGTTAGTCTCTGCGTTTCCTTTATCTTATGCTTTTTTTCTCCCTTTTTTGTCCATAGCTGCTCGAGGTCCAGGATATGGACTGATGTCGATACGTGTAGATGGAAATGATGTTTTCGCAGTGTACAATGCCACAAAGGAGGCACGACGCAGAGCGGTGGCTGAAAACCAGCCCTTCCTCATTGAAGCCATGACCTACAGGTAGAGTTTATCCTCGCATAAACCACATGAATTAAACTAGGAAGTACAACATCCCCAGTATTATATTAACTATAAACAGCCTATGTGGCAGTGTAGACCTGGAGGAGACCACAGGGGTGCCATTTGGGGTAGGGTCTATTTTTATTGTGTGTAGGGTGGCAAACTCAGCAGAAAATGCTATGAGATGCACTGTAAACCTATTTATCAACACAATATTTTGCAGTATAGGCTTTTATGAAACAGCATAAAATATGTGGGGGAGAACTTGCCTATTTCTTGAAAAAAATGTGTGTCAGGTTTGATGCAAGTTTCTCACACTGAAACAGCATTTTCTATGCAGTGAATTGTTCACGGCAGTTTAAGCAGATTATAGGTTTCTCTTTAAGGTTTGGATTCTGTTTGTCCATTCATTACCATTTGTTTGTAAATTTGATCCTCCTTTTTATGTAGATTCGATTTCTTGACAATCAAGGTTCTGAAAAGCCCACTTCTAATAACTGCTGTATAATATATGGCCATTGTTCAAGGAAATACTCAAGGGAGTAACCCAAACATAATTTCAACAATCATTCAGAAATCATTCTAATATGAATGATATATTCTCGATATGCTCAAGAACAATTCTAATTATTATCAATTAAAAAAAAAAGTTGTGCTGCTTAAAGGGTTAGTTCACCCAAAAAATAAAATTAGCCCATAAATTACTCACCCTCAAGTCATCCTAGGTGTATATGACTTTCTTCTTTCAGACGAATCCAGTCGGAGTTATATTAAAAATTGTCTTTGATCTTTCAAGCTGTTTAATGCCACTCAGTGGGTGTTGCATGCATCAGTCCAAAAGAAGTTAAATAAAAAGCGCCCATCCATTAAAAAAAATGTCTCACACTGCTCCAGGGGGGTGAACAAAGGACTCATGTAGCGAATCGATGCGTTTTTGTAAGAAAAATAATATCCATATTCAAAAAGTAATAATCACTTTAAAGCAGCACTATGTAACTTTTGGCGCTCTAGCTGTAAATAAACAGAACTGCACACATCCCGCAGAAGAACATTACAACCGGAGCTACTTCTCTAAGTTTATGTCTATGGCGATTCACACAGGTATGTGTTACTCCGCAGCGGTGACGATCGACCAGGCTACAATAGTCCAAATATAAGTACTTATTATAAGTGTACCGTAGTGATTCGGAATAAGACAAAAACGCGGTTTGGAAGATGAATTCATGATGTACTCACTCATTATATACATTTTGCAAATTTTGAACACAGAAAAAGTTACATAGTTCTGCTTTAATGTAGCTTGCGCCAACAGTTGTACACAGAAGCAGCTCCGGGCGGATGATGTATGAGGTCAGCTTTGCGCATGCACCGCTCAGAAGTGACGCACGTGGAAACGCAGCGGAGAGATCAAAACAAAACAATGATTTGCAAAGAAGATTGTCGGAGGATTTCGATATAAGCTAAGAGGAGACTGGTTTTCCTTTGCTAAAGTAAGGAAATTTTGCTTCCTTTGCTCTTGTTGACAAACGATGGTTTTCACGAGACTCACCGGCGCATGCGCAACGCTGACCTCATACGTCATCAACCCGGAACTGTTTCCCTGTACAACTGTCGGTGCTAGGTACATTAAAGTGATTATTACGTTTTGAATATGGATATTTTTCTTACAAAAACGCATCGATTCGCTACAGGAGGCCTTTGTTCACTCCCCGGAGCCATGTGAGACACTGTTTTTTTATGGATGGGCACTTTTTATTTAACTTCTTTTGGACTGATGCATGCAACACCCACTGAGTGGCATTAAACAGCTTGAAAGAGCAAAGACAATTTTTAATATAACTGCGACTGGATTCGTCTGAAAGAAGAATGTCATATAAACCTAGAATGACTTGAGGGTGAGTAATTTATGGGCTAATTTTCATTTTTGGGTGAACTAACCCTTTAATGGTTTTGTGGAAACCGTGTTAAATTTTTTCAGTATTTTTTGAAGAATAGAAAATTATTTGAAGTAGAAATTTTTTGGAACAATATAAATGTCTTTACTGTCACTTTTGATCAATTTAATGCAGGCTTGCTGAATTAAATTGTTTATTAATTTTCCATAATTAAAAAAGTTACTAGCAAGCAGCATTGAGCCAAAATGAACAAGACAAAAATGTAAGGTATAATGTACAGTTGTACTGCTTAAGACACATCTTTTCACCAATATTACATTTTGAAATTTGCTCATTGTGACTGATTGGTGGAACGTAGTTTTTCACCATGAATTTTGCTGTTAAAATGACTGATTTAAATAATTTGAAATAATTTGAACAGATGGTTTCAACAAAAGCATATACCATCAGTTAACAACCTTTAAGCTTACAGTAGGTGTTTCTTTAAAGATTTATAAGTTGTCGTTAAAAAATTAATTTCCCTATGTAGAAAATGAATGAACCTTTTATTAACCCACTCAACAACAGACCTTGAAATATTGGTACTGACCAATAAGTATATGTGTGTTTTTGTGACTAACATATATGTATATATATATATATATACACACATATACAGTGGGTACGGAAAGTATTCAGACCCCCTTAAATTTTTCACTCTTTGTTATATTGCAGCCATTTGCTAAAATAATTTAAGTTAATTTTTTTTCCTCATTAATGTACACACAGCACCCCATATTGACAGAAAAACACAGAATTGTTGACATTTTTGCAGATTTATTAAAAAAGAAAAACTGAAATATCACATGGTCCTAAGTATTCAGACCCTTTGCTCAGTATTTAGTAGAAGCACCCTTTTGATCGAATACAGCCATGAGTCTTTTTGGGAAAGACCCAACAAGTTTTTCACACCTGGATTTAGGGATCCTCTGCCATTCCTCCTTGCAGAGCCTCTCCAGTTCTGTCAGGTTGGATAGTAAACGTTGGTGGACAGCCATTTTTAGGTCTCTCCAGAGATGCTCAATTGGGTTTAAGTCAGGGCTCTGGCTGGGCCATTCAAGAACAGTCACAGAGTTGTTGTGAAGCCACTCCTTCATTATTTTAGCTGTGTGCTTAGGGTCATTGTCTTGTTGGAAGATAAACCTTCGGCCCAGTCTGAGGTCCTGAGCACTCTGGAGAAAGTTTTCGTCCAGGATAACCCTGTACTTGGCCGCATTCATCTTTCCCTCGATTGCAACCAGTCGTCCTGTCCCTGCAGCTGAAAAACACCCCCACAGCATGATGCTGCCACCACCATGCTTCACTGTTGGGACTGTATTGGACAGGTGATGAGCAGTGCCTGGTTTTCTCCACACATACCGCTTAGAATTAAGGCCAAAAAGTTCTATCTGGGTCTCATCAGACCAGAGAATCTTATTCAGGTGTTTTTTAGCAAACTCCATGCAGGCTTTCATGTGTCTTGCACTGAGGAGAGGCTTCCGTCGGGCCACTCTGCCATAAAGCCCCGACTGGTGGAGGGCTGCAGTGATGGTTGACTTTCTACAACTTTCTCCCATCTCCCAACTGCATCTCTGGAGCTCAGCCACAGTGATCTTTGGGTTCTTCTTTACCTCTCTCACCAAGGCTCTTCGCCCCCGATAGCTCAGTTTGGCCGGACGGCCAGCTCTAGGAAGGGTTCTGATCATCCCAAACGTCTTCCATTTAAGGAATGGAGGCCACTGTGCTCTTGGGAACCTTAAGTGCAGCAGAAATTTTTTTGTAACCTTGGCCAGATCTGTGCCTTGCCACAATTCTGTCTCTGAGCTCTTCAGGCAGTTCCTTTGACCTCATGATTCTCATTTGCTCTGACATGCACTGTGAGCTGTAAGGTCTTATATAGACAGGTGTGTGGCTTTCCAAATCAAGTCCAATCAGTATAATCAAACACAGCTAGACTCAAATGAAGGTGTAGAACCATCTCAAGGATGATCAGAAGAAATAGACAGCAC